AAATAATTCATTGAAATTTTCTATTTTCTTATTAAGATCAGTATACAAATGTAGGAAAAAAAATGAATCCTTTAATTATAAAAAAAAATTAATTTTGCATTTAACCTAAATTCTTTAAACAATTTAATTTAAAATAAATAATAATAATTTGGCCATCAAAACAAACAGAATTTACTGATGCCCCATTAGGACCCGTTTCCATTCTGTGATTCTTGCCCATAAAACCACCTTATCTGATCTGATTTTAAATAAATTCCCCAATATTATACATTAATTAATTTAAAATTAATATAATCTATAAATTAATCTAACAAATATACTTATTCATTAATTAATTTAAAATTAACATAATGATCTATTTTATAAAATTACAAGAAAAATTATTTATTAACAAATAGAATTATTCATATATTACTTGAGTTATAATTTACTTTCAAAATAATAATCAACCGCTCCTTCGGTCCTTCCTAAAATATATCCTAATTAATTTCTTTTATTAAAATTTATCAAATTTAAATAAAAAAATAATATAAAAAAAAACTTGCATAGCGATCGCGCGAACGTTAAAGCTCCATAGGCTCCACCGTCGCGCTCTTCCATGGGCAGAATCTCTCCGTCTCCAGCCTTCTATAACCTTCTTTTCCTCGCAGCGACCTGCAAACGAGCGCACCTCCCGATCAAAGCCGTTGCGTTATCTCCATTGCCGGAGGAATTTCTCCTGTGGATAGCCAGCGTAGCGCTTTTTGCCGGTATTGCGAATCTGAGTTGTCTTTGTGGAAGTTAGAGATCGTGCAATTGGTGGAGGATGGCGTGGCTTTAATTGGAGTGCTAAAGCGCGGCTTTTCTTGATGAGGTTGATTATGCCTCGATCCAGTTATTAATCCGCTTCTCATATATCAGCCTTCAGGTGATTTTGTTTTCTGGATTTATATTTCTTTGCATGTTTGGATTTTTCTACATATCCTGTCTGTTTGCCCCCCTTTTAGCTGATCAAGGGGATTTTTTCTTCTTAATTAGGGCCTTTCTAAGAGTCTTTACTTTCCATTCCTGTACCTGAATCATGAGTTTAATAAAATTTTGTGATGAGATTCTTGCTTTGCGTGTCGAAAGATATGTATCTATCTATCATTCTAAATGGAGCTAGCATAGAGATACTGAATTAAAGGTTATTGTCTCGAAAGTTACTTTGAGAAGGCACAGTACTTCTGCCTTCAGAGTTGCCAATGAGGAAGGGAGAAATGAGAAGGCGTTTTAAGTGACCGATTTATATGTCCCTTTTGTGGAAATCTTGCGAAATGCTGCTAAAAGGTGTATTCCCTTGGACCTAGGTGAATTTTTTGTTAGTGAGCTAGGTATTGTTATAAATTGAAACAAATATTCTGCGACTAGCTTTCCCCTGTTGGGTCTTCGAAAGGGATGAAAAGGCTTGATGCAGGTGCAATGGATATATCACAAGAATAATCCTGCGGGGAATGAAAAAGTTTTGGTTTAAGAGTGTGAATGCAGTCATGAAGGTAAGCATGCGAGTTTGAGGTGCCTTAGCTTAGTAAAGTAATACTACAACAACAACAACATCAAGCATGTTAAAACTTAAGAGTCAAATTCTCATTTAAATCTAATAAAGAAATGTCATTTCTAATATTTTATAATATTTTATAATCAATTCTTTTTAGGTCTATCTTTACCTTTGATACTTCGTCAAAAGATTATCTTAAACGAGTGCAAATCTCGATGCAAAATCAAGTTGGAAACTTCAAACATTAATTCGGAGACCATCCGGACTCCGATTTCAGCAAACTTACAGTCGAACTGAGCGTCTCGGAAATACGAACCCAACGCGACATTTTACATGACCAAACCATCTAAGGCGACCCTCTCTAATCTAATCTGTCATTGAAACTATTCCAACCTTTTCCTGGATATGCTCGTTTCGTATCCTGTCTCTAAGAGTACTTCCACTCATCCACCTGAGTATCCTCATCTCAACAATTATTATGTTTCTCTTTTAATGGCCAACATTCTGCACCATAAAGCATTGTAGGTCTCATCACCATCTTATAAAATTTTCCCTTAAGATTGAGTGGTACTTTTCTATCACTTAACAAACTCGAAGCATTCCTCCACTTCAACCATCCAACTTGAATTCTCCTAATAATAACCCATCTATTTCACCCTCACTCTGTACAATAGGATTTATTATTCTATGCGGAGTTCGGAGGGTGTCCGGAGATCAATAAAAATGCGTCACGTCACCCCATTGCTGGGTACCCAGCTCGATACCCCTCGGTACCGCTGGGTACCCAGCGCTTAACCGGACGGTTCTCCTGTCCGGCCTGTCCGGTGTCCGTACATAATAATAGATCGAACAATATACCCAAGATATCTAAAACAAGTACACTTATTAATGACTTGATCGCTCAAAGTCACAAACTCCCAACTAGATCTATTACTACTAAAATTACAGTCCATGTATTCGATTATAGATCTACTCAAACGAAAACCTTTAAAATTTAAGGTTGACCTCCATAATTCGAGTTTACCTTCAACTTCCTCTCTAGTCTTATCAACAAGAAGAATATCATCAGCAAAAAGCGTACACCAAGGCACATCCTCTTGCAAATGTTTAGTGAGAACATCCATGAATAAAGCAAAAAGATAAAAGCTTAAGGTTGATCTTTGAGGCAATCTAATTGAAATAGGAAAATACTTGGTCAAACCACCTTGGGTTTGAACACAAGTAACAACTCTTGCATGCATATCCCTAATGACTTGATTATAAGCATTATTAACCCCTTTTTTTCTAGAACTCTCCATAGTACTTCTCTTGGAACTTTATCATATGCTTTCTTTAAATCAATAAATATCATATGTAGATCCTCCTTAGTCTCTCTAAACTTCTCCATCAACCACCCGCTCAATAAATGAATAGCTTCTATAGAAGACCCGCAACATGAATCCAAATTGATTTTGAGAAACATTAGTATCACGTCGTAAACTATGCTCCATAACTCTCTCCCAAAGTTTTGAAGTATGACACATCAACTTAATTCCTTTATAATTCACACAATCTTGTGCATCACCTTTATTCTTAAAAATAGGAATCAACAAACTCATTCTCCACTCATCTGACATCTTTTTAGTCTTCAAAATAATATTTAAAAGTTTAATAAGCCAAAAAATTCTTTCATCTCCTAAGCATTTCCACACCTCTATTGGAATATCATCAGGTCCACTAGTTTTTCCACACTTCATTTTCTTTAAAGCCTCTCTAACTTTAGTTTTATTAATACGCCGATAAAAATAAAAATCTCTATTTTCATTTAGAGTAATAAGGTCAATAAAGTCAATCATATTCTATTCTCACAATCTTTATTGAAAAGCTTAGCAAAATATCCTCTTCTAAAAAAACTCTTTTTGATTTTCATCCTTAATGCAATTCACTTAATCTAAATCCTTACTACTTCTATCTCTTTGTTTGACTAACTTATACATATATCTTTCTCCCTCTTTAGAATCTAATATATTATGTAAATCATTAAAATCTAAAATCTTTGCATCACATATTACTTTTTTAGACAACTTATGAGACTCTTTATATCTTTCCTAATTTTTCAGAGTTTTTATATTTAAATCAATTATTATAACAAATCTTCTTATTTTTTATTTTTTTTTGTACATTTTGATTTCACCACTAACTATTTTTATTATTAAGGGCTTTTTCTTTTGAAACTTCAAGCACATTGATGTAGAACTATATGCTAAATCGGAGACTTGCACAAAATATTTAAGAACAATTTCAGATTTTCGTTATTAGCGATTAAAACAACAACGTAAAACAAATAAACGGTTACTTTCGCTTAGGCTAAGCCACACAAGAGACTAAGCTAAATCAAAATATATAGGAAAACTAAAACATTGCATGCGACGTAGTTTCCAACTTAACCAAGACTTAACAATGAAATCTAATAGCAAAGAAGTAACAATCCTACGATTACTAATGGATGGCGAATAGTAGCCACAGTTTCTTGTTTGGACAAATCTCATTAAGGTAAGTAGAATTTGAAAAGTAAATGGATCTAGGAAGAAGATCACCTTCTCGGAGAAATGTCGTGAATTACTACGAACCTTCCGTTAGCTTCTCTTCCCTAGCCTCGATCACAATGAGTAGCAATTGGTAATTGGGCTTCTCTTTGAATTAACCATGGTTGGAGTCAATTCGAGGAAGGCAAATGAGGAGATCCATGCAATCTTAGCCTTCATACACCAAAACAGGATTCAAACTCCGGATCGGTCATCCATCTCAAATCTATGTAGGAGATACACCTTGAGAGGGAGCGAAGAGAGAGAGAGGGTGGACGGGTGAGAAGGAGGAAGAGGCTAGGGTTATGAGAGAACTAATTGGGATGAAGAAAATATGCTATAATCCTCATACCAAAATTATTCTCAGTTTTTAAGTGAAAGAGAAGGGAAAAATCTGAGATTTGAAATTTCAAAACCATGCAATTAAGGGCCTTAATGGAGTATTAAAGGAGGTGGAGTCACCAAGGGGGGCCGGCAGCAAAACAAGGGGAAAAGGGGTTTATGAGAGAGTAATGAGTTTCCAAATTGGTTCCAATCAAATAATAAAGAAAATTTTCAAATCCGTTTCATTTCAAATTTGAAATTGAAACCTCATTTAAACTTTCCTAAATTGGCGCCGGACAAATTTGAAAATTTTCACTCAAAATTTTCAAATTTTAAAATTTGAAAATTCATGCGATGGTGGCGAGGGAGCCGGCAATTGATGGGATTGGGGTGGGGAATGAAAAGGGAGGCCGGCGGTTGGAGAGATGGTCGGCGGGATGAATGGGAGGGGGGCGGTTTTCTTTTGGGAAGATGGATTTTGGGAGGTGAGGTTAGGAGGTGATGATTTGTGGTGGTGGATGAATGGCCGGAGGTGGAAATGGAGGATAAGGGAAGAAGGAAGAAGGGAAAACCAAGAGCCACCGACGGTGACTGTTGGGTACTACGGGTGGCCTCTCCTAGGCTCCACCTAGCTCTCAACCTCTCTCTCAAGCTCTTACAAAAGAAAGCTTCAAGAAGACCAATGCAGGAAAAATTTGTAATATCATTCATTAACCATCAAAGTACAAGAAGAAGGCTAGAAATAGCCTAATACAATGACATAAAATAAAAGACTAAAATACCCTCGAGGGGCTACAAGACTCAATCCCTCAAGCAAGGGTAAAAAGGGAAAAATGCAGAAATAAAAAATACATCAAAATAAAATGATCATACTAAAATCAGAAATACATGGTAAATCGTGGCCGTAGATCTACGGCCACGTCGACGGTAGACTTTCTAACTGATGTCCCCATCACACATCTTTTACAACATTCTTAATATTACTTGCTATTTATCCCACATAACGTTTGCTTCATCATAATAGTTAAAATCTTAAGATCTTGAATCTTACTCTCAAAATTTTTTTTGTTTGTATTTTTTAAAAGCCCTCATCTAATATTAGAATAATATTTTACTAAATTTTTTATATTCTTTTCCTTTCATCTTAAAATCTAAAAGTAATAAACTAAATTGGGTAAAAAATAACTTTACAATCTAAATAACCTATTTTTTTTATAAAAAAATGATCAATTCGAGTTTTACTATATCCATTCTTATAATTGATGAGATGTTTATCTCTTTACTTAAATAAGGTATTAGCAATTATGAAATCATAAGTTAGAGCAAAATCTAATATAGCCTTATCATATTCATTAGTTACTCCAAACTCATAGCCACCATAAATACTTTTAAAATCCTCTACCACTCTACCAACATGCCCAATTAAATTTACTCCAATAATTTTTTTTTCAAGAGGAATCTTTTGAATTAATTCTTCTAAGTCATTCTAAAATTTTAATTTTA